TGTACAGCGATACACAGGCACTAAGCAAGCTGTGGGCAGTAATTGCTCATGCATTGAAGTGCTGAAGCTAAGGCTCCTGTGTGGAAGCACCAAAGTGGAGAGTGTGGTGCACCCCCTCCTCCCCTCTGCCACCTGAAGCTGTCTCCCAGTGGTGCACCACCTCCTCCCCTCTGCCACCTGAAGCTGTCTCCATACCTCTGCCTCGTCCACGGCCTCGTCTCCCTCTCTCCGTGCCTCTTCCAGAAGATCCTCCACTCTTACCACCATCCAGCCCATTCTCCTGGCCCCGAACTGAAAGACATGGAGCATGACACTAGGATAGCTTCTAGCATCACTACAGGCTTGGGAAGGATGCAGGCCAAGTGAAATACATAACAGCTCTAGAGCATGCTGGCGGGATAAACCCCATGCTACAGATGTCACAGCAGCTTATTCTGCTCCCACTGGTGACATGGAGTGGCCCTGGGCTGAATTATTTGCTCAGTGACTAAAGGATCAAGGACCATCTCATGGCAGCCCCACTAACTCAGTAGCAGGGCACCAGAGAGGTCTGTGCATCTACAAGACAACACTTTTAAAGTCATTGTGCCAGGCTCAAGGATATGCCAGGAACTTGTGTGCAGTGTGTGAAGGACACGTCTACACCACCTCCAGGCCATGCCAGGCTGCTCTGTGGTGAAGTATGGTGCTCCCAGGCTACAGACACCAAATCCAGAAATGGATGCTACAGTGCTGCAGCCACCTTAAAATGGCATGGGAGGAAATGCTCTGTCCTTGGGATGCTACCGCACCATGCTGCATCTGTTCCCAGGCCTAGCAAGTGCAGAACAGGCCTGCCCCGATTCCCAGTGGCACTGCCTAGCACAGGTTGGGGGTGGTGTACACGTGCCTGAAGTGTCCTCCCCTGTCCCAGGATAGTTACAGCTGCGACTGAAGTACGGGCTCATACACTCTCTCCCGCGGCTGGCGCCTCTGCCCCGCCTTGGTGGTCCGCCACGTCGCCGGCTGTAATCCCGATCCCTTTCCCGGTTCTCTTTACTTTCTTCACTGGGTTCCGTTTGTCCACTCTCCTTCTGTCCCGAGACACCCTTCTTCTTACCAACCATTTCCCAGGAATGCTGAAGGAAAGAAGAGGGCAAAGAAGTTAGCTGCTGGCTGATCAACACTGGGATGCAGGTTACATGGGGAACTGCAGAAAATGTAATGAGGGAGGCCAGAAAAAGGTTCCAATAGAACAAGAAATAAGAGTCCATCCGCCTGCATTTACCCAGCTTCCCATAACAACCAGTGTCTTCTTCCTTCTCTGTAGCCTTCAGTCATATGTTACCCAACCAAACCAGCAACATTCATTCTTTAAGTGAGAGACTGCACAAAGCTCTTGGATTGAGCCCCAAAGTTTTTCTGTTTGACCTCAAAACTGATAGTATGCTGCGGTCAGGCAGGCTTCCCCCACTGCTGGCCTGCAGACCAAGTGAGGAGGGTTCCAGGGACATATCCCTTAATCACCATGCCTGTTGAGTATGAGCTCATTGCAGAGGCCAGTTGAAGTGGGCTGGCTCTAGCAAGGCAGAAAGCTGTTAGCTACAAACTGAAGGGAGAGCCACCACCTCCAGTCACATGGATCACTCCTTAAGCTCCCATGTGGAAGCTAGATTTGAATTCTCTGCACTAACCTAGATCCCTCCAAGCCCCCACAGGCAGAAAGAACATCACTTGGCCACATTCAAGGCAACAGAAACATTCTCTCAATAGCAGCAGGGTCTTTTTAAAAATACCAGTGATCACTTCAGCTCCTCAGAAAGATCTGTGCTAGGTCACTTGTGGGATCAAAGAACTGTTACAAAATACTCTGTTACCTTGTTCATTTGAACAAGGTTGGGCTGTAAGAAGGACCGTACCCATGTTTTCATCAAGACAATGCTCAAGGGTGTCACTTGTCTAGACCCCAGGTCTAGAGACAGTATCTACTAACCACGTTCATTGTCAAACTTACACAAACCTTGCCAGGAACTGTCATTCCTACCACGCAGCCTCGCCTGGTTCCGGGGAACACACAAGCACTGAACAAGGGACCTCAAGTCACTCCAAGATAATTACAGCAAGTTAAATACACCATCAGTTCACCCCTGCTTCCCAGACATACTTGTCGCCAGTCCACAGTGGTTTCACACTGGCACTAACTGATGCTGCACGCTGTTAGCATAATTAAGACAGAGCCACAAGTCACTGACAAACACCTGAAAATATGACTCAAAGCTAAAGGAACAGCTAGTCTTGGATAGCAATGTGCAGAGATGGTGGCAAAAAAGCTTTTGGCACAAGCCACCTTCAAACCAGGTCTTTGCCACCGTCTCCCACAGCCAACTGGCTTGGAAAGGACTTCAAGATAAGTTACTCTGTGCAGAGCAATTATAAACTACATCAAACCAAGCACCGCTGTTACCTCAACTCTTCTGTCCCCTGAAATGTGGAAAGTCTCTTCTTCCTGTTTGGCTGAGCCACCCCCCACTACTCTGAGGATCCTGAGATAGGAACAAGTCTAAGCCATTAAAACTGGCATCTTTTCACAGTGTCATCAGACAGCAATTGAGTTCTGACCAGAAGCAGCTCAGAAAGCTTTTGCCAAATGCAATGCAAATGACAGCCTAGCTCATAATGCTGCAGGTAGCAACCTGCAGGCCCCCTATGGCATTGCAGACTGAAATAGCTGGCACGGCAAGGGTTTTACTCTGCCAGCATTGGTTCAGGCACTACCTAGCTACAGCAGCGACCGTGTTCTGCATCCCATGCTGCTGGATGTCCCCATTGACCATAGAGAGGAAATACCAACACAGGGCTTCACGTGTGTCATCCTTGCTACAATTTCCAGGGGCAGTTGCTCATTTAAGAAATTCAACTGCCCAGATTCTAACTGTCTGTTGCTTATCAGAAACTGCTCCTGGCAGGGATGCCAACACTTGCTTGTGAGAGGTTCTGATACTATTCTCTTTTACAGGAAGTGCTCAACTAACCACCGACTGATGAATGGGAAAGGGCTGAACCATAAAGCCATATGGCTCACTGAAGGCATGGAATCCAAACTAGGTAGGCTGCACATAGCTCAGCACATGCCAAGACCAACAAGGCTCACTGGAGCCCAGGCTGCAGGACAGCTGCTATGCAGAACACATCTGGCAGGGCCACACAGTACTGTCTGGGCTCACATTTAGTAACTAGAGCAGCCATTCAAGGTCCTCAGGAAGTGACTTTCAGAGCCTCAGGCCCCTGAAGTCAAACAACTGCTTACCATCAGCCTTCCCATACCCAAAATGTCACAGGCAATCCCAGGAGGCAAAGCCTTATCTTCACTGTGGTCCCAAGGGGTTCAACATCATCCACCTAGAGCTTTCCTCGACTGTATCAGGACTGAGGTGTGGCTGCCTTTGTCCCAAAGGAGGGGGACCCACGTTCCGAGATGCTCCGCAGGCAGCTCCCTGCAGGCAGACTTATTCCGAGGGTTTATTCAGGGCAATAAGAGTATTTTGGGAAGCCGGCATGTGTGCAGACCACAGGGATAAAATCCAGCTCAGCAGAGCACACTGCAAGTGGCAGCACTGGGCACTAGGGCCTGTGAGGGCATGCCACACAGCATGAAGAACCCAAGCCATGGCAGGCCAGTCAGATACGAGGCAGGACTGCACTTAGCTAAGAGGTGAAAGCCCAGCACTGTAGACCACAAGACAGGAGGAACAGGAAAGAGTAGAAGAGTCTTCACCTTCATCCTTTAAGCCTCTCCTAGGTCTGCACAAGCCATAGGCATATCAACCAGGCACAACCACCTACCAGGACCTCTATGTCCCAAATGAACAGACAGCAGATCTGTGCAGATAGCACTTGGAAAATCACCTCCCCAATTCATGCTCTGGATAGAGAGTCTTCACGGGGACACCCTTTTTCTATGAGTGGAAAGAGCCAGGCCTACCGTGTCCGGATTCCCCTCCAGCAGTACGTTGATGGCTCTGTTAACATCCCCGTTGCAGTCGTGCAGAGCAATCACACACTCATCCTGGTTTTTGCCCGTGATGTCAATCAGCTGTGGAGAAAATGACACCAAGAGCTCATTCCAAGCCCAGACAAGAGGCAGGTCTTCCTTGGCATACCCCAGGCTCCAGACCAAGGACACACTCCAGTTCTTGTGTGATCTACTAGAGGAGAGCAGATCACTGCAGCATCACAATTCAGTCCTCTCAAAACCAGGAATCCAAGCATTCCAAGTTGCAGGAGACAGAGGGGATATCTGGTCGACCACAAGGACTCTCCTGCACTGGGAGGGCCAGGTTAGATGCAATGACTACTGTGGAAAGCTATTAACCCACTGGAGAGTATGCCTCTCCAGACCCTGGAAGAGCACGTCACAGGATGAACCCACTGCTGTTGTTTAGTACACACTAGGTGTTCACAGGCAATAGCCAATGCATAAAGTAGAAGACAAATTCAGACAACCCCAAAGACCATTGTCAAAGTTTAACACAGATTTGTGGTTTGCAGCAGCCATGTCAACGCAACAAGCCCATGAGCAAAGACAAGCATTGCCCAAACACTTGCATCTCAAGTGCTATTCTGGGAACTGCACTTGGTTCCATTCCTTGTACAGACAAGACCATCTTACAGACTCTCCCTATGCATCTACAAGATTGTATTTTAGCAGGCGGCACAGCCAGCAAAGGGGCAAGCAAAGTAGCGCACCAGCCACAGTTCAAAAGGAAGCAATGAAACACCTGATTTTAGGGATGAAAACAAAGCAGCCCAGAAATGCCTAGCCCAGGGTCATGGAGCAAGCCAGTGGCAGAGCCCAAAGTAGCTCCCAAGTTCACAATCCTGTTCTAACTGGTGGATACAGTTGCTTCATCCATAGGCAAGATTATACCGAGCCCCCCCGCCCCCAATACCTCCAGTTTAATGAAAGTGTTTCTGCTGAGCCAAGAAGCCATCGCTACACATTCACATCTAAGCTCAAGGCCAATGTGGCAACCAGCTGCAGCAGATCTGGCTGCTGTGTAGCTGAGCTAGCGAACTCTGAGCTTAAGTTGCAGCACCCAATACAGCTCCACATGTTTGCTTACAGAGGTGAAGGAAGCACCTCAGCCCCAGTGGGTCCAACTCATGACAGCTCAGCACAGCACAGTCTAAGCAAGCAGATGAAAAAGTAGACAGATGAAGCACCTCTGACAAGGCAGAGAGAAGCGGCAGCAAGAAGGAACAATACAGCTTCTGCAGCTCACAGGTACAGGACAGGGAGGCATCCCCTGAGGCAGTCAATCCAGCTCCTGGCTTTCACAAGCAACCAAGCTCATGAGAAAAATGTTCCATCCCCTCAACCATTCTGACAACCCTTCCCCAAATCTGCTCCCACCTAAACACATGGTTACTGGACGAGC